CCTTCTTATTCATGGTGTCGTTATCCCTTCAGCAGGCTCGGGGACGATGATTCAAATGTTATCAGCTTCTAAAAATTCCCATCACTGCTTCACCGTCAGTGCCACTTATCTTGCAGTCCGACAGAATGTGTAAAGGAAGGGGGTGGGTGGGGATATGGGGGGGGGGGGGGGGGGAGACACCGCAGAAGATTTTGCAGGCAGCTTCTCCCGTTTTTGACGGTTTTCAGATTTCAACAATGAGCCGCGCAGCTCAAAACTATCCCGCTCTCTGATATTGTCTTTTTATCTCTCTGTCTTCGTCATTGTACTGTTCCTTGCAAAAGTGCTGTACCAGAATGTTTGTCCTGAAGTTCATGTGACGGGCCTGTATCGTTTCAGTATGTGTCTTCTCACGGAAGTTTGCAAGTGTTCATGCATTCAGATGGCGGTTTCAGCTGCGGTTTTCACTTCCTTGTTAGTAATAGGGTTTCTTTAGAGATGTCAACACTTTTTCGAACTTATCTCATTCCTGTAGATCCTATCTTTTTTACCATTGTCCACGAACCACTTGTGTACAGAAATATATTGACATGACCAGGACCGGCCTCTGCGTTGTAACCGTAAAGCTCTTTGTTGTTGCTCGCAGATATCGTGAGTTCAGTTTCCCTGAAGGGAAGTTATTTTATTGAGCACCTCTGTCTTTCTGCTGGGATACTGTTACCCTTTCATCTCGGGTGGTTGGCGGTTGCTCTGGTGTGGTTTCCTCCTTCTTTCCTTTCGAACATCTGTCGTCCTTATCTCTCCTTATTTTTTCTTTTTTGGGTGTGTTTTCACTCTCTTACAAACTTCTCCGGCACTTATATGACCTAAGTGCGTTGCAAGTGAAGTAAAATGTATACAAAAGCCAAAAATATCTCGAGTTCTCATTGACTAGTAAAATTGATGCATCCCGCCTTTATTCATCTGTCTCGATTGGAACGCTAAGCATGTTAAAAAGCCCATGAATGGCTTAGCCATAGAGCCTATAACCGGTTCATTTTTTTCTATTTTTGTCCAAAAACTCTCCCTGTCGTTTCATAATAATATGACCTTCGGTTTCTTCATTTCTGATGTAATCCGTTTCATTCTGGAGAGTACTTTAGGGTTAACCCCCCCCCCAGTCCTCTTTTCACACCCCCACTGGTTGTTGAAACAGTCACAAAAGACACTTGCTCAAACTACGAGGAGCTTTTTGTGACAGGAAACATTATGCTGCTGTCGTCAACGTCTCTATACATTCTGTATGGAGGGAGGCATTGAATGGTGTTCGTCTTGACAGACACTTACAGGATAAGTGGCCCAAGTATTCAACAACGAAGGGTGGAAGAGTAAGGGTGCATTAAACACCTGTTTAACACCACACTACAACTGAGGGCTACGAGATCGCTTTTCTATAAACTTGTTTTTGATATAATAAATTACTTCATGCTCCCTCCCTCACTTTCCTCGACCTCCCGCAGTAAATACTATTTATTAAAGTCCACACAGGGCCATGGGTTACTCATCACGTTTGGTTATTCCTTAAAAACACTAAAAGAAAAAGGCTATGAGTGGTTCACTGGACCTGTAGTTAAGTGTAATGGTTAGGCTCTTCACCTTCGCAAACATAAGACACGGATCCCTTTACGGTTATTATAATCGTGTATTTCCATCTGTCTGCTAAGGATGCAGTATGCATCTCAGGAAGACTCGAAGTACCCCCCCCCCCCCCCTTTCTGAAAAAAAATGGTTTTGTGTTGGTGGGAGTGTTCAACATTTACAATAATTTATAGTAATTTCAGAGGGCCCTTAACGCTTAATATTCCAATCCCTTCCACTGCCTAGACCACTGCTGACCTAACCACGGACCCCCTTGCTTTCTTGCTGGAGTGCTTTTTCTACTTGAACGATTTCTTACCGTTTATTATTCCTTTCTGACCGAGACAACGACAGGGAAATATAGAAAATAGTGATACTGAAGACACCCTTGCGATGATTAAGTGAATACTACCATCTTTTACAATAATGTCAGTCGTCTCATAAGTTCATATAAACATGGGGTTCGCAAGAGACGTCATTTTTATGACAGCCATTTTCGCTCCCATTTATATGTGGTCTAAGAGCAATGTATTTTTTCTTCTGCTTTTAAAAGTGATTGCCCCCACACGGCCACTCTCTTTCTCTGTCCATGGTTAGAAAACGTCATCAGTATGTCCTACTTCTTAACCATTCCACTTTTGTTTCTGACTGACTGTCTGGCTCCATCTGTCCAGCATGATTATGGCCCATCATTGTGCTTCCCCTTTACTCAAACAAACACATTTTTTATCGCAAATTCCATCTTCACCCCTTTCTGATTTAGAAATCCACTTAATGGGAATAACATGGAAAACCCCATCAGCACAAAAACCTCCTTTATCCTTTTCCAGTTAACACGCCCAACAAGTACATAACTGTCTAACATATTGTGACAGAAGTGTTGGCTATTGTGCTAACTACACTTACATAGCTATTTCCATCAAGTTCATCCAGTACCTCGAATGTCAACATTCTGAAAGAATGGCCTTTTTCTTGGAAGCTCTCACCGAGAGCTTAGTAGATACCATGCTGGGATTTGGAGCGCACGAACCCGGTTTGAATCCCCAAAAGCGCTGTCTTGGATTTGGATTCGATAGTGAGCCTTCAAGGCTCTTTGCTGTCTTATCTCGTCCTGGGAAACGAACCTTAAAATATGTAAGTTACGATTATTATCAAATAATCCCAGTGTTTTTATGTTTTGAATACATGTATATACAACACACCATACTTCAAAGGAAATTTTAAAAGCTTATCTTAAATCTCAACTGCTTGCTTGCTACTTAATTGACTGACTGACTGACTGACTGACTGACTGACTGACTGACTGACTGACTGACTGACAGACTGACCGACCGACCGACCGACATACCTACCTACCTACCTGCCTACCTAATCTGCCTACGTACATATTTGCCTGCCTATCTACCCAACTACCTTCCTGCCTACCTCTCTGCTTGTGTATCTGACCGTTCAAGAAGAGAGTAAGAAAGTTACTAATGATAGTAGTTGTTTCTGGTGACAATCACAATACTTATATTTTGTTAACAAAACCAACTTTTTCTATAGATGTTGAAAAATCATCCATCGGTTTTTTATTTATTGAAAATCTATTGCATTTCATGTGCTTCAGTGTTTGATCAGCAAATGTCATCCGTATAATCTAAATCTTCCAGATTCTTGCCATAATATGTTCATCCAATGCCTGTTTCGATGTCTTTGCTCTGTTCCATTTCAAAGCCAACTGCAATGCGTAAATGTGCAGGTAAAAGTATGCGGCCTTGTCTAAATCTAGTATTTATATTTCAGAACGTGTAGACATTTCTCCTTCAACCACGACACTTTGCCTTTCTTTCTAGGGATGTTATGCAGTTTATTTTAAAAAAAAATAAAAAATAACGAGATTGCGACTTCTCCTTACGGTTTTGGTAACATAATAGTTTTTTATGAGACAGATTGTTATTAGTCCTTTATCAACCTCAGGAGTAATGACCTCATACATTTCTATCTATGGCTGCTGGAGGGTAGCACACGAGTGTCTGATGACTATCTCGTCCACCGAGTAGTCAAACATCCTCACTCATAGCTGAGGATAAAGGGTTATTTATTGGCTTCTTGATTGGCCCGATGATAAATTCGCTAGGTATGCTATAGGTATTTAATAAGAATAGCAACAAGGCTCAACTTCCACAGTGTTTAACATTTGTCTAAAATCTTAATATCGGAGACGAATGGGAGAGCGTGGTTTGAAGTAGGAAAAAATTATGTTGCCTGAGGTAACCTGAACGTTCTCATGAGTGACGGATTATTTTGGTCTCCCCAAGAAAACTCAAATGAACAAGCCTCCTTTGTGTAATGGCTGGGCTTGCGGCAGGTGCGCACAAAGTAGGCGAGTTCAATTCACATAAGGTCCAATTAGCCCGCCAAAATTTAAAAAAAAAATAATAAAGCCGAAAGGGTTGTAAAATGTTTAAAATCATGTAGAATTTCTCGAATGTCTTTACACGTACCCGTCTTTTGTTCACGCTCTTTTATATACGTCAAGTATTGTCAGAGTCATCATTCCCCGGCGGTACCTGTGTAATACATGACTCACAGACTGACTGCGACCAGGTTATACCTGGTCAGTGATGGACTCATTGACCTACTATGTCCAGGTCACAACTGTTAAATAAGCTGTAATATTATCCGGAGAACCTCGTAAAACGCTAATGAGATAAATAGCATACGTTCTGAGAAGTATTCCACGAGTAATGTCAATCAGTTACAGATTGTGGGTAGATACCTATTTACCTTATGTTGAGATTATATATTATTTCCTGTTTTGTACAAGTCGTAATGGCTCTAGAGTCCGTGGTGCAATGACAATTTGTTCAAAGTTTGGGGGGGGGGGGGTGGGGGGGACGTCATATTTCTCTGCCTTTCTGTTGGGATTTTATCTCTTACTCAGCCTCAACAAAGGGAGTAGAACCCGAAATGATTTAAATTGTGCCGATGGGGACGAAAGATATGCTCGATATATTTATATATATATCCTCCTTAATAGTAAAAATTCTGTCATCAAGTACGTAAATCATTTTTAATGATCTAACCATAGATGTTCTAGACTGATATTAAATTGGATGTACTGTGTGTCACTTTCCTATCCGGGTTCTTTTCTCTTCGCAATGCTTCGCTGTCCTCATTGAACCTAGTGTTCTTTGGGTAGTTTGGAGGTGCCTCTTGTATGCCCTTAAAATTGTTATTCACTGTTTTGTTTCTGTCTGCCTGTCTCCGTCTCTCGCACAATTTTGCAGAATAGAGGAAGTTAATGTCCTTCTATTTACTCAAATAAACAAAACATATTTTTTTGGTTTGAACTGATCTATTTGTTTGTATCTAGCAGAAGGTTGAAACTTACTAAATGTTACAACTCTTGTATCCCTCAGAGGATGTGGCCGTTGAACCTGACCGGTGTTCAGAGAAGGCTACGAGCCAGGGATATGTCCACCTACAGCACGGTTGTTTGTCTACAGATCTATGCTATTCCTTTTCTCGTACTATTAGGTAAGTTTGTTTTGCCTCTTTTTTATTTTATGAACATAAAAATATGTCAGTGGCAAATTTTTAATATATTTTTTCAATGTATTGTTCATACAACGGGATTGAAAATCTTGGGCGCTCTCGCCTCATGTTGTCTGAGCTGTAATAAAAGAACAATACCCCATATAACAATAACACTTTTTGTTTCATACTTAACGAACCTGATCACCCCCCCCCCCCACACACACACACAAAGACAATTTCTGCAGCATAAAGCATATCAGTGTTTTTGGAGCAACAAATTTATTTGTGCATTACTTCGATTTTCAGAATCTATTAACTATTAATTCACCGATAAATTCACGTCATCTCCGATAGGGCCACGAGTTAGTGAGTTCAGGATAACTACAATAATCAGGGTGACTAAGATAGTAAAACTGTTTCCAGCTTCTCAAATCACAATTAGCCTTGGATAGAGTTAATGTAGTATAATGATGCTTGTAAACTAGCACACCAAGTTTTTATAATACAATTATCTATTTGCTGTAACACCTAGTCATACACACAAAAAAATTATATTATATTGTTTTCCGAACTGAGAGTGTAACAACCGAGATAACAAGCTCTCAAGAAATCAGGATCACAAAGAAATAAGGCTGTTTCCAGCTTCTCGGATCACTACTAGATCTAGTTTTAGATAATTTAGTCAGTACAAAGGTGATTATAAAATTGCACACCCAGGCTGTAAAGTACATAGCGATTTAAAAAGAATACGCCAAAGTGATCACACGATACTTCAAAAAACGGAAAACGTAGAAAAATCTATCTTGGACAAACGTGTTTTTAATACCTTCAAGTTTTTATATCATGTTTTACAAGTGCTCAATGTGGCCACCACCGGCAGCACGGACACCACCACGCCGATATGAGAATTCCCTCCAAACGTGCCTCAGAATGTTTCAGGCCACCGTGTTGATTGTAGCTGTTATTCGACCTTCAATGCTATTGGTATTTGCTGGAAGTAGTGGAACATAAACTTTGTCTTTAAAATGTCATTAGGAATTCTCTTATCGGTTTGATGTTGTCCGTGCTGCCGGTTATGTAAAACTTGAAATAAATACTTTAAGGTGTGAGCAACACATTGGTCCAAGCTAGGGTTTCTATTGTCTTTCGTTTTTGAAATATCGTGTGGTGATTTTGGTGTATTCTTTTTTAATCAACCTGTATAATAATTATCTCTTGGCTGTTACAACTAGACAAACCCAAAACTATATAGATTATAACCAAAAGTGGTAATGTAACAACAGACAACAGACATAACAAGTTATTAAATAAATAGAGTAACATAGAAATACGGATGTTTTCATCTTCTCAGATCAAAACTAGGCTTGGAAAAAGTTTAGTCAGTTTATAGGTGCTTGTGAAATTGTAGGTGGTAAAACACAATTATCTGCTGTCTGTTATAATTAGGCGTACACCAAAAAATTAGATTACAAAGCAAAGCTAAAGACAAACATAGAAAGTCACTAAAGAAATTAGGATGTCAAAAAAATTAGGATGTTTCCACTTTATCAGATCATAACTTGTCTTGGCTAGAGTTTAGTCAGTACAAAACTGCTTGTGAAATTGCACAATTAGCTCGCACGTATCTGTTGGTTGCTGCAATTATACAAAATTAAATAGATTAAAGGACTGAGAATGTAACGACCGACATTACACGTTAATAATGAGGCTATGGGAACAAAGAGATATCTCAGTTTCCAGTTTATTAGATCACAACTAGGCTTGCATAGACTTAAATCAGTACAACGATGCTTGTACAATTACACACTTAGTATGTAAAGCAGAATCATATGTTGGATGTTACAACTAGGCATACTAAAAAAGAAGAGATTATAAACAAAACTGAAAGCAGTTCGAGCAATACAACAAAAAAAAATCACTGAAAAAAATAGGATTGCAAAGAAATATAATTGTATCCAGCTTTACATATCACAAAAAGGCTTGGATATAATTTAGTCAGTACAAAAGTGCTTGCAAAATTGCACACGCTGGTTGGGAAACAAATTATCCGTCGGTTGTTACAACTAAGCAAACACGAAAATAGATAGATTATGACCAAAACTGAGAGTGTAAAGGCCAGCATAAACAGTCACCAAAGAAATAGCAATGACAAAGAAATAAGGATGTTTCAAGCTTATCATATCGTAACGTGGCTTAGATAGAGTTTAGTCAGTACGAATATGCTTATAAAATTGCACACCCAGGTTGTAAAAATAAAATACAATAGGAAAACTAGAAAAACACAAAAATAAATAGATGGTAAACAGAAATGATGGTGTAACGACCGACATAACCAGTTACTGAAGAAATTACAATGACAAAGAAATAAGGATGTTTTCAGCTTATTAGATCATAACTTTGCTTGAAAAGAGTTTAGTGAGTAGAAAAGTAGTTGTAAAATTGCACCCACTAGTTGTAAAACATAATTATCTGTTGCTTTTTACAACCAGGCATACATACAAAAATAATTAAGTTAAAAACTAGGAGTTAAACGACTGACATAACAAGTTATTAAAGAAATAAGATGACGAATAATTTTTCCCCTAGCTACTCAGATCACCACTAGTTTTGGATAGAATTTAGTCAGTATAAAGGGGCTTGTAAAATTGCACATGAAGGTTGTAAAGGCAAATTTATTTGTTTGTTGTTACAACTAGGCATACAGAACAATATGAGTAGATTATAACGAAACCTGAAAATGTAATGACCGACATAACAAATTACTAAAGAAATAGCATGACAAAGAAATAAGGCTATTTCCTGCTTATCAGATCACAATTTGGCTTGAGTGTTCCTATCTTATGGTGTCTAAGCTATAATAAAAGAAAAATGCACCATGTTAGAAAAGAAACACGTCGTTTCAAACCCGAGGCACTTTTCAGTGTTAAAGTGCCGTTACCTTACAAAAACACTTTCAGGGTGAGATGTGTGTAAGTGATGCTTATATAGGAGCATTGTTTCTGTCACTTTAACAGTGGTTGTTGGAGAGTACCACAAGTAGTTTATATTTCTTTTCTTTCCCATTTGTTTCCCAGCTTAATATGATCGTCATCGTGTCCATATTATGGTTATACTTGGTCAGACAGTCCCCTTTTTCTCTTTTTATTCTTTCTTTTATCTCTTGATCAAGCACTCCGTCTCCGAAATGAGCAAATAGTTTTTAATAGAATTGTTAAAGTTAGTTTAAATCTGAGCAGTGTCTGTTGAAAAGTAGTCCAAAACCATGCTAACTTTCAACAAACTACACTCCAGAAGTAGAATAAAAACTATCAACATTCAAGTTAAAATTCCTGGCACCATATTGATAACAAGCTTGTCGTAAGGTCAAATTAATTTCCACACTCCTTTTCTTTACCTTGAAGTGTGTTAACATCGGGCAACAGTACAGATAGCCGATGGTGGGAGGGCGCTACTAGTAAATGCTTCTTCTTTTCTTTCCCTCTCTTAGTGCTGTCGGTTTTTCTTACTTTTTTCGTGTGATGAATGACCGCTATCGTGTTGATGTGCATCTTTTTACTCAAATTCAGTGAATATGTTTCCCCCCTTTTATAGTTAGCGCACGCTCTATTATAATTTATATCACCGGCGTCTGTGGTGTAGTGGTTACGCACTTGACTGTCGTGCGCAATAGACCCGAGTTCGATTCCTGAGTGGGAAGAAAGTTGTTCTCGAGAACCTCGGTCTTTTCGCTGGGATGTTGTATCCCTTTCAGCCCGAGTTGACCCTGACACGCATTGTCGGAAGCCCGCCTCCTAAATGATCTAAATTGTATCAATGTTGGCGTAAAAAATACCTGCATTTAAAAAAGAAATTGTTTATATCTCCCCGAACCCGCTGAGTGGTCTTTTAGAACATCTTTTAAAATTTGTCCGACAGGTATCTTCTTGTCCACGTTCACCTGCGTGGTGTTGCTGAGGACGAGACTAAGGAAAAAGTTCTACTCCCACTTCCTGGTGGGCGTGTCCGTGTGTTCCCAGGGCTTTCTGCTCACAGTCATGGTCAACTGGATGTTCAATCAGGGTGTGCCGGTATTTGGTGTGGCTGGAGTTTGTCAGATGACCATTTTCTGCAGGTTAGTATCACATTTCTACACAAATGTTAATCTGTATTCGAGGGGACTGGTCTTATAGATGTAACTCAATAGAATGACCAAACACAAAATGAAAATAGACATCTGCTTTCCTCTTGAAAAAAAAAAAGAATGGTGATCTGAACATCTAACCTCAAATTGTATGGATTGAATTACCTAATTTAACGTATTCATTCCAGGTATCTGATCCCATACAATCGGCGGATTTTAAGTAGTGTCCCTTTAGAAATTTTGATTTATAATAATATTGCTCCATTTTTTATATTAATATTATTTCATTATTTTACTCAAATGAATTCTATTGTTAGTATTATTGTTTTTTACATTGATGTTATGGCCGTGTTTCTTCTTCTTCTTCTTTTTCTTCTTCTTCTTCTTCTTCTTCTTCTTCTTCTTCTTCTTCTTCTTCTTCTT